GGGGGGGGGGGGGGGGGAGACAAGGAGAGAGGGAGAGAGAGGGAGACCGAGAGAGAGACCGAGAGAGAGAGGAAAAACAAGTAGGAAGCGGTGAAGAGGGGCATAGGCAACACGGGAGCAAAGTCGAGTACAGGAAAACGACAACAAGAGAAAGAAGGTCGAGGGACAACATAAGGGCAAGTATTCACGTGGTCCCAAAACGAGTTAAAATAAGTGAGGCAAGCAAGACAAAAGACAAACACCGAGGGACAACATGAGCACTATTAGTATGCACGTGAGACAACAATAAATAAAAAGGGGTACCTCGTTAAAAAAAAAAATAGATGGGGCACAATTAGTTTGTTACGCCTTGTCGTGCGAGTCTTCAAAGGAATGTACGGCATGAATGTACCTCGAGGCGTTGTCGAGGAGGTATCGTGTGTCTTCCGTGAGGTGAAGCACGACCGCCAGCGTGATGTGGCGCATGTTCAGCCCAACGTCCCTGCGCTCGATCATCCTCAGCAGGACCGGAAGCAGCAGCTGCAGGTAGCCCTCCAAGCTATCCTGCTCACCACACACACACACACACACACACACACAACGCGCTTCCGCGTTTAGCCGCGCTGAGACTCACGGCTTATTTTTTATTGGTCAGCCGGTGCACGCGGCCGTTGCAAAAAAATAACAAAAACACAAAAAACAATCATACAAGCACGTGCTTTCCTGCTAAGCTGCGCACTGATACAGAACGCCATCCATCAGGCGGATAGCTCTGGTCGGTGTCAATAACAAAATCAACACACACACACATACGACCGCGCTTTTGTTGTTTGCCACACTGAGACTGACGTATATATATGACCAGCCGGTTAGCTCTGGTCGGTGCCAACAAAATAAACACACACATGACCGCGCTTTTGTTGTTTGCCACACTGAGACTGACGTATATATATGATCAGCCGGTTAGCTCTGGTCGGTGCCAACAAAATAAAGACACACATGACCGCGCTTTTGTTGTTTGCCACACTGAGACTGATGTATATATATGATCAGCCGGTTAGCTCTGGTCGGTGCCAACAAAATAAAGACACACATGACCGCGCTTTTGTTGTTTGCCACACTGAGACTGATGTATATATATGATCAGCCGGTTAGCTCTGGTCGGTGCCAACAAAATAAAGACACACATGACCGCGCTTTTGTTGTTTGCCGCACTGAGACCGACGTCTTCTTTCGTTGGTCAGCCCGTTCGTCTGCTAGAACAAAATCAAGACACACATCCTGGAAGCGCACCGCGAATTTCTTTCATTGTCCACGTCTGGTCTATCAAATGCCCCGCGTTTGCGTCTGTCTCTACCCCCTCCCCCACGTTCACGTCTGCAAGCAGCCGACGTATTTTTTTTTACCCGAACAGCCCAGAGAACTTCCACCAACAAGACAGAAAAATGTGCAAATCTGTACGCAGTCAGCCGTCTGTCAGAAAAAGCCGTGCTGTGTCTATCCCTACTGTAACCCCTCCCCACGTTCACAGCCGCAAGCAGCCGCATATACAAACCGTGTCTTCACCTGTCTGTATGTATCCCCCCCCCCCCACCGTCACAGACGCGCAAAAAAAAACTGCTGTGTGTGTCTCCACTGTACACCCCCGTCACCTTCACGGCGGCAAGCAGCAGCATATACCGTAAGAGTCGGAGAGATGGCATTCCCCCCACCTAGACCGACTTTCAAAGCTCGATTACTCCACAGCCAAGCTTGTCTGTACCGTACCGTATTCCGTACCGTATTCCGTACCGTGGTATTCCGCAAGAGCCGGATAGACGGCACCCTTCTTAGACCGACTTTCAAAGCTCGATTACTCCACAGCCAAGCTTGTCTGTACCGTACCGTATTCCGTACCGTATTCCGTACCGTGGTATTCCGCAAGAGCCGGATAGACGGCACCCTTCTTAGACCGACTTTCAAAGCTCGATTACTCCACAGCCAAGCTTGTCTGTACCGTACCGTATTCCGTACCGTATTCCGTACCGTGGTATTCCGCAAGAGCCGGATAGACGGCACCCTTCTTAGACCGACTTTCAAAGCTCGATTACTCCACAGCCAAGCTTGTCTGTACCGTACCGTATTCCGTACCGTATTCCGTACCGTGGTATTCCGCAAGAGCCGGATAGACGGCACCCTTCTTAGACCGACTTTCACAGCTCGATTGCTCCACAACCAAATAGGTGCTGAACGAGCTCGGTATGTCTCCGGAAAGCCATCGACGAGATGCTTCCAACACTGGCTCGGGGTGGGGGGGGGGATGCCATCTCTCCGCCTCTGGCGGTAAAAGCCGTGTTGCGGTCTGCCTCTACCGCACGAACATTGGGGGTCGCTAAACCGGGCCCCTCCTCCTCAAACAAATGCCCCCCCCCTCCCCCAAAAACAAAAACAGTAAAAAAAAAAAGAAACTCGCCCACCACTGCCGTTGTTGCGTCTATCTCTACTGGCACTCCCCCCACCTTCACGGCGGCAAGCAGCCGCATCACCGCGACGCTGCCAGGCCTCTCCCCCCCCGGCTGGTGGTTCTCCCTCTCGACCTTGAGCGTGCCCAGCAGGAGCGGCAGCAGGTCAGGCAGGAGGAGTCGGAAGCCCCTCGCTCCCAGGGCGCCGTGCAGGGCTCGGGCCACCTGGATGCACTGGATCTGGTGCCCTTCCCAACACTTGTCGTTGCGTGGTAGTGTTGGTGATGTCGTCGTCGTCGTCGTCGTCGTCGTCGTCGTCGTCGTCGTCGATGTTGTTGCGTCATGGACGTTGGATATTGGATATTGTGCGACAGAAGGGGGAGGGGGGGGATAAGACAGGGAGGTAGTGTAGCATACAAGACAGCACAGAGGGAGGGGGAGACTTGTTGCGGTCTCAACGGAGCATGACGTAACTTCTTAAAAAAGCTTGAACAGCACCACTGAAAACAGAATGAGCAAACAAGATGAAAAAACTACGTTATGAAATAATTGCTAAATCTCCTGAGACTACTCTTTTCCATGGATTGAGATGGATTCGTTGTGTCATTTATAAAAAAATAAAAACAAAAAGCGCACCTGATGAACGATTTGGACAAGTCGAGATACAGCCCATGGGGGAAGCCGAGGTCCGGCAGCGTAGATGAGCACGATAACCTGTTGACCAAGATGCCACGCGCGAAAGATAGAAAGCAGCCCAAAGGGGACAAAAAAGGCTTGGGAATTAGCTAGCTGCAACAAAAAGTAGCAAAAGTAAGCGCCCTTGTTTGCAGCTGTATCATATCATTCGACAGCCACGAGGACCCCCCCCCCAAGTCCCCGCGTAGNAGTCGAATAAAAAAGGGCGTATCATACCTAGCTTCAACAATATCGGCGTACGGCATAAATTATGTACCACGTCAAAATAGCAGTAGAACGGGTACCCCGACATGACAAACAGTAGTAGTCGAATTGACTCTTTTCGGAGACCGCACTCAAAGCTTCTACATGCTGCGTTGCCCAATCCACAATCGTAGCGCAGGTGAGGACAGATGGACTTCTACACCGCACTACTGTTTGGGGCCCCCCACTGAACACTGAACACGATTGCTCCGGCCCCGGACCGTTCGATCAGAATAAATCCAATCAGAAAAGCCCCCGGGGCGGCAATGCGAAGCGACTCCTTTCTCAGAAAAAAAAAATCACAACACGCAAACGCTGCAGTAATTAGACATGGACACCCATGGAGACATCCATTGCGCAAACCTAAACCTCCTCCCTCATCCCCCCCC